TCGTATTGTAAGTCATAATGCCGTATCATTATTTTGTAAAACTACAAAAAAGTTTTCAAATCCTGTGACCATTTCTGCTCTCATCTTTTAGATTAGCTGCAACAAAGTTATGCAGCATACATCTTAGCATGTGAATAGTCATAGAAAAGTCACTACCTTATCAACATCCAACATAAAGCTGTGGGCTCAGCTCTTGCCTTCGCAGCACTCTGTTGATCATGTTGATCACTGCACCTAACTTTCAGAACAACAAAGATACTACGTTCTATAATTACTGCTGTTGTATTTTTCCCTCTGTTTTTGTTCCAGGTAGTTGATCCTCATCTAAGTATCACCAATCATGCATACAAAACTCATCTGTTTAAATGCCTGCAGTCTGTGTTTGATTTACTAACAAGAGCAAGTAAAAGCAATTGCAGCAAATAATGAATTTTAATCTTTTAATGTCCAGGTGCTGCAACTTGTCTGTACCCTGAGAAACGGAGCTAAAAAGGCAGCTTCCATAGGATCATCGAGTCAAAACATCAACTCCTCTGAAAGTTTTCAATGGTCAGTGTCTGAGCAGAGATTAACAGCAGCTGTCAGAAGCAGCTGAACCATAAGTTAGAGGTCTGATAAAGAAAGCACCTAGCATACAGCAAGGCATTTCAGCATGCACTTCAGTAAGCTCAGGTGGAAAAGCCTATGGATTGCAGTCAGGTAGTTATTGAGCAGAGAGTCTTGAACAATCCCAAAGAGTTTGTTCCCAAATTATGCAGAGCCATTTCAAGGTTCTGCCAAAGTTATGAGTGTTCTTCTGTGTTGTTCTGAAATGAAAAGCAGGTTTGAGATATTAATGCTGTGTGAAGGACATTCATTTAAAACATGCACAGCACTGAAGTATGCTGTTTGCTGTTTCTAGGTACAGCAAAGCTTGTAGAGGATACAGTAAGGACAGAAAGAATGTTTGATTTTAAGTTCAGTATTTTCCCTACACATGGAGCACTAAGAGGAGGTATAGTTTAACAGAAGTTTAATTTTATGATTGTTTTGATATCAAAAGTCCTCACTGTTTTGTCCTTCTGGGGAGAACAGTAACTGCAACGCTGCTGGGCAGCCTATGCTGCCACAAAGCTATGGGCAGCAGCCCCTGTCTGCTGTGAGGCAGACCCAAAGCCACAATGTTTGAGGCTGCATTTGTCACCTGTCTGTGCTATCTGATTCAGGTACATTTTTGGGGTCTTCAGATCATTCTGCTGATACCCCTGGAGTGCATGACACTGGGGCTAAGGTAATTGTGATTCCAGTAGGAAAGGCATTTAAATTTCAGAAGCTTTCAGAAGCTTACAGAAGATTGCTTCATGTACTGTTTAGTGGAGATAATGCTAGAAAGAAAAAGTAATCTTATGTCCTTCTGGATGCTGGGAACCCTGAGTAGTGCAGGAAGCACCAGCCAGACCTCTCTGCTCAGTGTGACAGCTCATGCGCTGTAGAACCCATCTGTAGAAAGTTTTGCTGACATTTTGGTTTAGATTTTACAGAATTTTCTTAGACGACAAAAACCTGTATTCATCATTTCTACAGTTGAACAACATGTGACAACTTGTTGCTGCTCTTCCAGATAAAGGCAAGGCCATGCAGTTGGTGCTGTCGCCAGCACCAAGTGGGACCTGCTCACAAGCTGTGCTACCATCACCTGTTCACTGGACCTGCAGAGCACGTTACCAAAGGACAGGCTGTATGTGCAGCCACCCAGATCAGTGTAAATATGGACTTTGTGCTGAAAGAGGTGGTACCAGCATTGCTACCTCCCTGATGCTGGTACCTCATCTGGATGGAATGAGTCTCCTACATCATTCCCTTAATGTTTAAATTTTAATATTTTACTTTCGTGTATCTAATTTTCATTCTTCACAAAGAAGATTTTGCAACCACCAGCCAGTATTGATTTAAGGTCAGAAGAGTAGCATCAGCTACTTTGAGTATAATTAGAGACTGAAATCAGAGTTCTGATTTTTCTGAATTAGAATAGCATTGCTAAACTGTAAAGTGAGCAAAAAGTTTTGCTTTGATGGAAAAAAATCCTCTTTTGTCTTCCTTTATTGCCAAAAGGCATGACTGCACTTTTTTCCCCTCCAGCCATAAAATGCACACATTTCAGAAGCCCTTTGTTTAAAAATGTTATTAAAACTGAAAATTTTAATTAACATGTGGAATATTTACACATTCAAAAATGGTTTTTAATTAACATCCACTTTCTTAGACTACAATAAAGTCCTACACATTTTCTAGCATAGATTTTAATATATATTTTTAGCAATCTCATCTAAACAAATGAGATAAAGAGTATTTGAAGTTGTGCTTAAGCACAGTACTTAATTTCAGAGGCTGGCAGCTAGGCTTTTTTTTATTTTTTCAGAAATTAATACTTTGCATGGAACTGCTTAAATAAGTGTCCCAGAGTGAAGACCTGGGGTTTACACAAGAAGATGACATGAAGGAACGAGGAGACAGACGTACCATATCTGACCTTTACTTGCCCATGCCCGTAGCAGTGACAGCTCTATCATGATACCTGCTTATAACCCTGCCACTGCAAAGACACGGAGCTCCTTCTGTCAAAAAGAGAAAGTAATGTTTCACTGTCAACATTACAAACACAAGTGATGTTTTTCATCTTGAGATGTATCATTTAATTCATACAGTAAATTCATTTGGGAAAGAGAGAGGAGAGGGGAGGGGAGGGGAGTCAATGGAAAGGAAAGAAAAGGGAAAGGGAAGTCAATTTAAAAAACATGAGAAACAAGGGAAGAAAAAAACATAGACCTTAATACAGCTTGGATGACAAGAACTGTAAAAAACAGATTTGGCATAAAGTTTTGCTTGATGGATGCAAAATTTTTATCTGAGCTCCTTCATTTTAATTGTCTTGGAGAACATCTCTCAAAGCAGAGATGCTCCTGACGACAACCTCTCTGACTTGATCTTACAGATCTGCAAAAGGGGAAATCCCACAGACTTCCCATGCTATCTCATCTGGGGCATCACAGTTATGATGCCTAACCTAAACTTCATGGTGTAAAGCCCTTATGCTGCTTGCTCTTGCCATTGGAAACGAAAAGGTTAATTCCTTTTGTACTCTCTACTGACTTCCAGAGGGCTCATGTGCCACTCAAGACATATTCCTGCTTGTTTACACTAGACAGCCATCAACATGGTGACTCATTATCCACTGGAGGTTCTGTGAAAACTCTGTGCTGCTTCTTTGAGCTACTGCCTATCCAGTGGGTCCTCATCCTGCACACTGCAGTAGACACTCTCTATAGCCTTGCAGTCATCTTTCCTCAGGAGCATCCCACTTTGCTAGTAGGACATTCTTCCAGTTTGTCAAGTTTCTTTCTGAAACCAAGTCTTGTTCCCTATCATATCCACAGCCCTTCTCAGCACCATCAGTGCTTCATTATAAGTGCTCTGTGTTATTATCTGTATCACTGATGAAAATCCTCGATGATCCTGGATAAACTGCAGCTTAATTTCTCTCACACAGCTCTGAGTGTCCATTCTGTACAGCTGAGAGCTGCTCCCATCTACAGCTTCACACCAGTTTTGCAGCAGTCCTCTTAGACTTCATCAGATACAGTGTCATGAGAGTCAAATCCAAATAATCATAGAATGGCCTGGGTTGAAAAGGACCTTAAAGATCAACTAGTTTCAACCCCCTCTGCCATGGGCAGGATTGCCAACCACTAGATCAGGCAAATAAAACCTTTTTTTTCCCCCTCATTTTCCTTTATTAAAAATGGAGAGTCAGATTCTTTGGACCTCATCTGTTCCTGTAAAGCTGTTGTCACTGTCATACATTCTAAATGTTTAGTTCTTAGTGATTAATTATTTAGTTCTTAGTGATTAATAATATTATTTCTTAGTAATTAATTATCACAGAACTCTAATGGGAACTCAAGGTAACCTCTCTTGATTCCTGACTCACTCTGCTGTCTCCTTTTGAGACGGGCACCTCGTGGCATTCCTCTTATAACTTGGTAACCTGCCAGAGCTCACAAAGAGATGGAGCAGATCTGCCCAAGTCCTCTAACAGCACCAAGCAAAAACGACCTGCTTCCTTCACACCAGGTTGCTCATTATTTAGAGACCTTTTTATGGTCTTTCTAGAGGTAGCATCCTCACCACTGCTGACCTCCTCAGTGGAAACCAAAGCCAGAAGACACAGAATGCTTCTGTGGGCTCAGTGCTCTTTGAAACACGCTAGCCCTTCCCTGGCCTTTTTCTCTGTTTGCCTTGTAATCGCGGATCTCTTGTTATTATTCTCAGCATTGCCTGTATCTTGTTTGGTCTTCGTTCCTTCTGCCCGCTCCCGCTTCCCACACATCCCTCTTACTTTTGCCAATCCCTCTAGCTTCCCCTCTCACTACAAACAACTTATCTCTGGGACAAACTCATCCCGTTATTCGTATTTCTGCCTTAAAACCACTCTGCTTTTGCCCTATCTAACGGGTCCTTCGGGGTTCAAAAACCGAGAAACCGCCGCCGGCCGCCACCCGCCGCGGGGCTGAGGCGGCTCAGACCACCACCGGCCCCAGCGGACAGGGCGCGGGGCGGGCTTGCAGTTCCCCGCCCCGCCCCGCGCCCGGCTCGGCCCGCGTTGGCCCCTGCTCGGCTTGCCCGGCCCCGGCGGGGTCTCCACAGCGACTCGAGGCCGCTTGGGTTACTAGGGCGGCGGCGGCGGCACGAGTGCTTGAGGCCCCGGCCTCCAACTGGCCACGGCCAACAGCCGCCGCCGCCGCGCCCATAGGCCGCCGCCTATATAGGGAGCGGCGGGTGGCTGCGGTGAGCGGCTGGGCGCTGGGAGGAGCAGGGCGGCAGCCTCTGTCGCGACCTCTGAGGCAGGTGCGGGGTTCCGTAAGCGGGTACGTTATGTTCGGTTTTTAATTTGCGATTTTTTTAAAGAAAAGTTTTTTTTTTTTTTTTTTTTTTTTCCTCCGGAAGGTGCCGAACTCGTGGCGATGCGCCGCAGGGGGGAGACGAGCCGGGCGGGGCGGCGGGAGTCTCTCCCCGCTGCGCCCTGCGGCGGGCGGACCGTGCTGGGAGTACTGGTGGAGAACGGGCAGCAGCGGCCCGGCGCCCAGGTAAGCCTCGGAGAGCCTCTCCGAGCCGTGGAATCGGGGAATGCCGTGCCGGCCGTGTTCCCCTGGAAGGAAAGGGAGACTCTGCGAGGTTTTCCCCAAGCTTTTACCTTCTGGACTCGTCCTGGGGCTGGCTGAGAGAAAGCAGCTCTGTACTGGCTTACAGGACGTTGCTCGGCTGTGTGTGCCTACGGACTGCTTGGTTTTGGCGATGTGAAGCCCGTAGCTCAGTCAGCTGTAGATGATGGGGAGGATTGTATCGTAAGTTGAAGTCTCATGGATTGTGGTGCTTAAGTTCAGAAGTTCAAAGTTGCTTTGTAACTCAAAATGCTTTTTTGCCTTTAAGTCTGTGGCAGCACCTGAATACTTCCGTTCATCACCATGACTTGCTGTAGCACCTGCTCCTTGCCAGCCGGATGGAGCCAGGCAGTGTCCTTACCTTATTTTCTGTGGGAGTGAGTCTGCTCTCTTGGTTACTGATTTCTACTGCCTGTTACCTCCTGTAAGGTCTCTGTTGCAGCAGCAAGCAGTACTTCCTAAGCACCAGCTGTAGCTGCTGGCTTTCCCAGCAAACTTGTATTTATTTGCCATTAACCAAGGAAAGTGATATGCTTTTCTAAAACAATGATACTAAAACAAATGATACTGTTGTTTTCCTTTTGAATTGTCTTGCCTCAAGATTACGATGTGTTCTGTTTCAGAATACTGCTATTACCAGGCGCTTATCTGGCTCTGAGAATACCTTCCCTGAAGCTGGAAAAGATGAAGTATCCAACTGTGTGGTCAGTACTACATCAAAACAGGACTTTACTATCTACATTGATGAACCAGAAGAGAAAGAAAACCACAGCTGCCAAGAGGATGAAGAACTGGAATCAAGCCTGTGTGAACTGGATACTAGTGCAATGACATCCAGTATTCACCTACTGTTGGATCTGAGTACAGGTAACTCCTGTTAATGTTCATATAGTATCACAGGTGCTTGTAATGTGGTTATGAATCATGCTGGCAGTGACCTAGTGAGTAGTTTATCTTAAAATAATTACTACTTCATGATAACTTTATTTGAATCAGTGTGATGCACAACACTTCTATGCTAGAGATGGCCAGAGATGGTGAAGAGACTAAATGTCTTTCTGGCTTCTCTTTTGTATTAGGATCTCCCATGCTAGTGGACACATCCTTCCGGTGCCAGCCTGAGGATCAGATGGGAGATCCTATAACTCTAATGACTGTGGGAGAGTACGCAGAAGACATTCATCAGTACCTCCGAGAAGCTGAAGTGAGTGTCTTCTAACAAATGCAAAGATGTGTGGGATCTTCCTGATAGGCTGCAATACTGCAGAGTCTGATAGGCTGCCACACAGTAACTCTGGGCTGTCACTGAATAAAGCCATCACTGGAGCTCAGTTCTTAGGAATCTTCTAGACAGTGATAAGTTATTTCAGGCATCACTCCACATCCTGGAAATGGGATGTGAGAAGATTATTGCAAAATACTAATGCAGTTCAATTGGACCTCGCTGGCTGTTCTGCTGTAGTAGATTTTTAATTTATTTTTTTCAAAGCAGTGAAGTGCAGTCTTCCAGTAAGAGGGTAGGAGAAATCTGATGCATTTAAAGTCATTCTCAGGTCCCTCTGAATATGTTTAATAGCAAACGCTGGACTTCCCAGTTCAGGGAACATCCTTTACTCTTATGCTACTAACATGGTAGTAGCATGTCTCTTCAGTCTTTCTAGAGATACTGGTGAACTCTAATTAGAGTTACTCCCAAACCAGCTACTGACAGTGAAGCTTCTCATGCTTCTTCAGGCGCAAATATAAAAAAAAGTCAGTCAGTTCAGCCATCAGTGGTTGTCTTTGGGGTAAGCATTCTGATCCTTAAGTTCTCTTTCCAAACAGGTGAAATACAGGCCCAAGCCCTACTACATGAGGAAGCAACCAGATATCACAACAGAAATGCGTGCCATCTTAGTAGACTGGCTGGTGGAAGTAGGGGAAGAATATAAACTTCGAACAGAGACACTGTACTTGGCGGTGAACTACCTGGACAGGTTCCTCTCTTGTATGTCTGTTCTCAGAGGGAAGCTGCAGCTTGTAGGAACAGCAGCAATTCTTCTGGCTGCGTGAGTGTTTATCTCATGAAATCTTAGTGAGCAAAACTTAGTTTTGGACTGTCTTTTGACTTAATTTGAAGGACTTAAGCTTGCAGTGGTCGGTAGCTTTTCATGCTGTCCTAAGATGGTGCCCCATCCCTGCAGGCTTTCAAGGTAAGGCTGGATCAGGCCCTGTGTAACCTGATCTAGCTGTGCACGTCCCTGCTTATTGCAAGGAAATTGAACTAGATGATCTTTAAAGGTCCCTTCTAATTCTGAGGAGTCTATGATTCTGTGATTAGCTTCTTGACAAGTGCTTCTTAGCACTTGCAAAATTAGGCATTTAATATTCTTTATTGAGGGAACTGTAGAGGGAAAACTTTGTAACCATAACACCAGAAGCAAAAACAATGCTGCATTAAGCCACTAGCTCACTGTAGATTAAAAGTTGCAATCTGCAATTAAGCTTAAACTGCTTTAAATAGACAGGGTATCAAGCAAAGCCTAGGAGTGCATGGATTTTTGTCTGGAGTGCATGATGTTGCTGAAACTTTCTCTTCAGGAGTTTTCCTATTAGTCAAGCATGCTAATATGAGTGTATGCCTATCTAGGCTGATGACTTAGAAGTATCTTTGTCTTCCCACCAATTTGATCTTCAAGTCTCTCCTATACTGGAGAAAGATTAGAATAAGACCTCTAAGCCAGTCTTACAAATGTCACATGCTCACCTTGAGATGGGCCCAGCAGAAAGTTCTGTTACTCTAGCTTTTAAGCTGACATTTTTTCTATTTTTGTCTATATTTTTTTTTTCCAGGAAATATGAAGAAATCTACCCACCAGAAGCAGATGAGTTTGTGTATATAACAGATGATACATACACAAAGAGGCAGTTGCTAAGAATGGAACACCTGCTTCTCAAGGTCTTGGCTTTTGACCTCACAGTGCCAACCATCAACCAGTTCCTACTTCAGTACATCCACAGGCATGGAGTCTGTTTCAGGACAGAGAATTTTGCAAGGGTATGAACTACCATTCTCTTAAAGTAGCTGCTTTATAGGCTACTACCATCAGAGTGCAGGCTTTTGTGCTTCATTATTTCTGGATAGATGTCTGGGAATACTGAGCTTAGACTGTCTGTCTGGTCAACTAGACTATCTTGGCAGCAAGGTGATAGGAGTCCATTCTTCAGCTGTGTGTGTATAGGAAGCCTGACCTGGACATGATGATTCATCATGTTGCTGCACAGTGACACAGCATATTCCCACAGGACTGCCTGGGGAAACAGTACTTCAGAATGGTGTCACTCAAGCTTATAACAAAAGCTCTGACTTGCTGCTTAGATCAAAAAGTGTAAGATTTGTACAGTGCTTATTCAAACAGCCCAGATTTGTTTCTTAGGTGCTCATTTAGCTCAGGTCTCTAAGTGAGGTTCATCTATGTGAGCAGAATCCTGCTGGACAATGCTGAAAGTTCTGTAAGATCAACAGAACTGGAATACTACCCACCAGATGTGTAACTCATGTTTCTTACATAGAACTGAGGACCACCGACCAATTGAACTGCTCATATATTGGCATGGTTCTACCTGATAGAGCCACTCTGTTTGAAAGACTTGTGCTTTGTTTTTTTGTTTAAGTATCTTGCAGAGCTGAGTCTCCTTGAAGCGGATCCTTTTCTGAAGTACCTTCCTTCACAAACTGCTGCAGCAGCCTACTGTCTAGCAAACTATACAGTGAACAGGTCATTCTGGGTAAGAATAACTGCATTCTGATGTTTAGCTCCAGCTCTTTATAACTGGAGAACTGCTGAGAGGTAGGAGTGGCTTCAAATCATGTTATTGTAAAGGCTGAAATGCAACGATGAGCAGCTCTTCCCAGTCTAATGAGTCTACATAATTAATTTAACATTTGTTAATCTGAATTATCTTGCCATCTCCCTGAAATAGGAAGGACCTTTTTGTCTTCACTTGTGTCAAGTGTGCACCGCAGGCCTTGTCAGTAGGTAGTCTCAAGCTTCTTCCCTAGATAGAATTCAGGGGCTTTTTGGGAGGGGAAGGGAGAACTGAATGTGACTACACTGAGTGGCAGCTGTAATACAAATCTTGATAGGCCTGTCAGGTATCTGTGCTTTAGCAGGAGGCAGAATCCAGAAGAAACATAATGAGTGCAGTGTACTTAGAGCAGAAGGAGATTCTTCTCAGACCTGACATCAAGCAAGACTCATAGTAAAACTGATGGCAGGATGCACTTGAATCCTTTTCAGAAATCTGGAGTGAGAACTGACATAATGAAAATAGTTCCTGCTTCTATAGAAAATGCATCTTACCTAAAGTAGAAAAACATTTTTTTCCTCTCTTACCAGCCAGAAACACTTGCTGCATTCACTGGATATTCATTAAGTGAGATTGTGCCTTGCCTGACTGACCTGCATAAGACATGCCTTGATGCTCCACATTGCCAACTGCAAGCAATTAAGGAGAAGTATAAACAGTCTAAGTAAGTAACTAAGAAGCTAGTATTTCCTTACTTGAAGGTTGTAGGCACAGGATGATTCTGGTTGAGCAACTTTGGTTGTAATTCTTATAGTTCATTAATTTCTTATACTGGACAGCTTTTGTTGCTGATATTGGAGCCTTCCTCAGCATCTTGAGGGGAAAAACTCTTCTGGACAGGAAAGTAGTTAACTCATAGATATACAAATATAGTGGATCCCAGTTCTATTGCAGTACTGCATGATAGCTTCTTTCCTACTGTGCTTCATCAGAAGGGCCCTTAAAGTACATTTACATTTGTCAACTAAGCTAGTAGTTTCATTGGTTGCATTTCTATTCCAGGTACCTGCAGGTATCTCTTCTGGAGCCCCCAGCAGTTCTTCCTCTACACTAGAGATGTTGGATCCTGGACTTAGGTTTATTTTGTCTCGATGAACAAAGCTATGGTCTAACATCTCAGAGCACTGCAGGTCATGTGCCTGTAACCACGGTGATGAGAACAGTTTTTAGCTAGTATTTTTTTTAATTAGATGCCTTTTTAAAAAAAGGATATTTGACTATAGCTCTTAATATAATTGACAGCACTTTTAATAAATGCCTTATTACACTTTCTCTGAGTCTTCTGATTCCAGTTAATATATGCAGTAATGGTGCATGGGAAGGTTTTCTTACAAAATCACTGGGATGGGCCTTTAATCGAGCTGCTATGGATCAAGTGATAATCCTCCAATCCCATACTGTTGACTGTTTCTTTTTCATCTAAGACAAGCTGATGTGCTCATGAGCAGAACCTACTTTCTGCAACTTGTGTGTGTATGCAAAAACAAGTCTGTGAATATTGATGACTGTCAATGCTCAAGTGAAAATTCAATTCCCATTACAGTGCAGTAAAGCAGCATTTTCTCTGGGGCAATGGATGAAAGGGAAGCTGTGACTTTAGCAGAAGGGGGCAGGCAATGGGTGGGAAGCTTTCCTTCCAAGTTCTTAACTATCTCATCCTGAGCTCCTGCACTGTGTTGTACCCCTCAGCTCTTCACACAGGAGTATATAATGAACGCCTCACCCTAAAAGCAAGAGCACCAAAGAAGAGCACTTATCTTGCATACTTTTAAAGCATAACTTCTCTTCAAAGTAGTAGAAAAGCAAGTAATTGATAAGGTTAGTTAAAAGAGCAGCTTGTCTGGAGCATTCTCTTAATGTTTAAAAAAAAAAACCTAATGAAATACTGTAATACTACTCAAGGCTTATTCCTTCTATGAAAAAATAATCTGAACAGGGCATTATGTGTCATAGCAAGAATATGTTTAATGCTTGACATTAACATGCAGTTCAACAGAAGTCCTGCACTTAGTTTAATTACTAGGTAACAAGCCTATTGCTTTATAAAACCTGATCATACCAGTGTCTGTGTCATGAAGCTTTTAGCTTTAAGTGTTTCCCTTCCTTTAGTATGCACACAAAAATTTTCTCCCGCCTCCTCCGTTTGTAGGCTCATGAATCCTGCTAGGGCTGCAGACCATTGTACATCTCCAAAACAGGGTAATAACTAATTTACTCAAAATAACCTGCAAGGCAGGGGAGCATTTAGTTTTCCGCCTGCCCTATGCAGTTTTTAGGTTCACTGCAAATGCTTTCTAGTCAAGTGCATGCATCTCATTGAATGGCAGATGTGACCAGGTATCCCTTACTTACGTCTCTGGTACATGCTTTATGATGGGAGTTAAGACTATCAACTGTTTTACTGCAGTAAATTTCACAGCTTATGGGTGAATGAATGTCTTAAAGGTGGGCTATGAACTACACCTATGCATTCAGGCAAATCCTTCAAAGTAGGTGGCTGAGAACAATGACCAGAGGCAGTGATGTCTAGCTACAGCATGGAGTGGAGATTTCCTTGATTCATTGTTTCATAATGGAAAAATAAGTGTACTGAATAGTCTTTTAAAGTCTACAAGCTATGAGAACTGGCTTTTTAATGGTGTTTCAGGCTGAATATGAACTATCCTGAAACCCCGTGTTAATAAGCCTTACTCCCCTTGTGAGGTAGTGGGGCTTACTGGATTGCAAGTGCTATAGTGCTGAGTATTTTGGAAGCAGTAATGAATGCCTCAAGTGTGAAATTGTTTTCCTAGTGCTCTAGCAGTTTGCAGGTATTCATACAGTCGTATCAGCATAACAATGAGGAACAGGTGAGTTTTGATCTTATGAATTCTGTTACCACATTCATGTGTTCGTGGGCCAACAGATTTGGTGCATCTAGTGCAATAGAGCTGAATTTCCCATGTGATTTATCTGAACGTTTTACCATGTGGTGCCTTCCTAGAGGCCAAGCTTTCCTTTGGTTTTTCTTTTCAGATTTTATGTAGTTACAGGAAAGGTACCATAATTGCATTTAATTTCCCTGAATATTTAATTGTCTGATTAAAACAAGACAAAACATACTATGATCTCCGAAACACACTGTGCTGTACCTCATTGGCTTTTTTGATATTTTTTTTTGTGATGCTTTTGCAGCTGCGTTAATAGCTGAAGTGCTTCCATTTTTTATTTATTTTTGTTTTTATTGAAAGGCTAAAGGAGGCAAATTATTAAAAACAAACAGCAAAAGGTAGTTGAGGTGAAGAATCCCATCGTTACGTAGTATGTGTACAAGGTATGGGGAATTTGTGGGACAGAAGAAACTGATCTCCATTATCACCTGTGATGTGAGGCTAACTGTCATTTTGAAGGTTCTTCTATTTTCGTTTTTTTAGCTTTGAATTTATCTGGCTCAGAGCAGGTACAGTTCTTACTCTTGTACAAGTGAGCCTTCTAAGGTGAAAGCTGGATGCTGTCTCCTTTCATTCATGTATGTCATAGCATTTAACCCTGTCCTGCCTCTCCTCTGAAGCTTGTGTTTAAGAAAAGCATAATAGCTGTTTCTGTTGGGCATCCTATGGTGATGAAGGTGGCTGCTTTAGTAGTAATTAAATATATGTGTATAATAATATATATATATAATATATACTTAAATACAGATGCAAAACATTTAACAATGCTTAAAACATATCATAAACAAGTGCACAGAAATCTGTATTCATAAGGAGGGAGATAAAAGCAACCCAAAAAGAAAGTCTGTGTTGATGCAATACTTCTGCAGTGCAAAAAACTGAGACCTGTGAAGATCACAGCTGTGTGTTAGGTTTGAAACAAACAGAGCCAGACTTCTTCGCTTCAGTTACAGCAGTATCCTTTAAAGAAATAATGGGGAATCAACATTAAACAGAAGAAGACAGTTTTTGACTATCCTATTTGTTGGCTAATAGCAGTCACAAATAAGATCTCATTTTCTTTGCTCAGGAAATGCTTAAGCTGTTGCAGCTTCAGAATTGTCAGGCTTGATCTTGCTCAACTAACTTCACTGCAAAGGAGCTCAGTCCTCCTGGAGTCTCAGCATAAGCACTGCAGAGATGAACACTGACTTCTATGCAGGCCACAGTCTCTTCCCCCCCCAATTTAAAATGTATTGGGATGGGAGTAAAAATGGCAGCAATCTGAGCACATTCAAGGAGCTTTGAATGATCACTCAATCATGCAAAGTGAGGTGGGCTAAAATTGAAATGTTAAAGACTTTACTTTTGGCTCCTGATGATTAGTAGAAGAGCTCTTTATTAACTTTCTAACAAGAAGCTCCCTAGTCAATTCTAGCAGTTTCCATGCTACAGTGCTGTCCCTTTCAAAGGACCCTTATACACCTTGGCTCCTTGGTCTAGATTCTTCCTTGTAGTAATGAGCTGTAGGTCAGAAAATTAAATGTTGCAGCTGAGTTTGGTATTCATGAGTTGCCACTGAAAGCTGTTCTTTGTAGCTGGTATCGTTACTGAACCCGCTGTTCTCTTAAGATTAATGTGAACAAACTGAGTTCAAATCATGCTCTGTGGGAAGGTACAGTTTTAACAACTAGAGTCTGTCCTATTTTCTTTTTCTTTGAAGTGAGTTAAGGATGTCTGAGGGGTAATTGGGTAATTAGGAGAATGATTTAACTGTGGTCAGGACAGTTAATCTGTTAATTCATGGTGAAAGATGTCTGCATTGCTGGGAAATCTGGCTGTGTGATTGCTCTGTGTGCATACCTACTTGTCAGCTCCATGAATGACTAGAATTAGCTCTGATAACTGTGGTTGGTGCTTATTTTGCCATTGACCTTGAAACAGGTTCTGTGTCTGGTTTTAAGGATGAGAAAGGAGCCAGCAGCATCACTGATTGTTTCCTGGAATTAAGGTTTTTTTTTCTTGCAGTTTTCCTAAGCTTCCCCATATGGAGATCATCTTATTCTGAAGTGCTGTACAGACTCTACTACGTAGATATGAGCCAGAGGAAACAAAAACCCATCCTGTATCACTCAGAATTTGAATAATAGAATCATTAAGGTTGGACAAGACCTCTAAGTTCATCTAGTCCAACCACCAGCCCACCACCATGTCCACTGACCATGTCCCTCAGTGCTACATCTCTGTGGTTCTTGAACACATCCAGGAACTCCACCACTCCCTGGGCAGCCTCGTCCAGGGCCTCACCCCTCTTTCCAAGAAGAAACGTTTCTTAATATCCAACCTGAATCTCCCCTGGTTTAACTTAAAGCCACTGCCTCTTATCCTAGAGCCCTGGGAAGTGCAATGTTTTAAAGACTTTATTAGGTGTTTTGCTGATTATAGTGGATAAGTGTATTTTTCCATTGCTTCAGACAATCAACAGTATCCTTCCTCTTTTTTTTTTTTTTTTTTTTTAAAATTTTTTTAGCTCTTGTTTGATTTATGGTTCTTGTATGGTTTGGACTTTCTCTTGGATGCTTGTTCAGAGTGGATCCACTTAATACAAAAATATACAAAGCTCTGTGAAAAGTCTGTGTGATGAGTTCCTAATATAGCCAGTTATACCTATTCAGTGCTCTGCTTGAGATTTGTTAGTTTATATGGCAACAGTGCAAACATTTAAGAGAATTAGCACAGGAAAAACTTCCAGGACAGCCCATAGAAAAATACAGTGCATATGATTGAATTAGTCCTGAAGTACATGCCTAATTCTTATTGAATTAACTTGTGTCCAAACAAAGCCACAACAAGAAAGACCATTTGGTCAAGATGGCCTTAATCTCTGTGAAGAAATCCAAAATCATGGCTCTGTTTCCTGGGGTTCTGTGCTGTGCTGGTAGGGAAATAATGGTGGTCTGATCAAGGACTGTTTCCTGGCCAAATGTCTATCTCCATTTGGCTTGTTTCCATGGTGCTTAGAGCTAGCAGGTTTGGAGTAGTACAGAATAGCCAGTATGAGCCAACAGGCTGCGTAGGTGGTTGTGTTGAGTGCTTGTGCTTGCTGTCTGCATGTCTTTTGTCTTAGCAACATGCCCAGGATGACCAAGTGTCCCTATTGCTAATACCAGTAAATACCTAGATAAACTGTAAGCAAGTTTTCAGCTCTTCAGATGTTCAGGCTCTATTTCAACACAGAGGAGCATTACTGGAGAGAAGTGCAGGAAGAACAGGCTTACACAGCAGTGAGTTTTGGCAAGAAATAAGTCTTCTCTCTCCACCAT